AGAGAGAGAGAGAGAGAGAGAGAGAGAGAGAGAGAGAGAGAGAGAGATAGTTATAGGTACATGCATGAGTAGATATATACAGATGTATTTACAAATGTATACATATATGTGCACTTTAAAGCCAGAGGAGGCTGTCAGGTATCCTCCCCACTCCTTTTCCCTTGAGTCAGAATCTCTCAATGAATCTGCAGTTAGGCCATGGGCAGCAAGCCCCAGTGACTTCCCATATCTGCCTCTCACAGCCCTGAAATAACAAGTATGTATGGATCAAAACTCTTGTCATGCTTATGTAGCAGTTTTATTCATCCACTGAGTCATTTTTCAAGCCCAGGATTAGTTTGTGATACACAGGAACCCTCTATTCTCATTAATATCTCCTCTTGAAACATCTTCCAGTAGATCTTCAGTGTCTACATTAATAACAGAAGTAGGAGCAGGGATGGAGATCAGTTAGTAGAGTTCTTCCCTAGCACACACAAAGCCCTGGATTTGATCTCCAGTACCATACACATGGTGTTGCAGGTCTGTAATCCTAGCACTCAGGAAGTGCAGGAAGGAGGATTAGAACAAGTTTGGGTTTCTCTTGGAGTACATAGTCACCTTGATTCCAGTCTGGGGTATGTGAGACCATGTCTCAGACAGACACTAGAAGTGAAAGGCAAGTACACATTCACTTGATGTAAGTTAACTTTAAATCTGAGTTTGATGATGCACTGTTTCATAGTACAAGAAACAATAGCAAAGATAAGGCTGATCAGTGTCCCGCGTAACTGTCCGGTCAGTGAGCACTGTCTGCCCTCCTCTCTCCCCTGCCATCTGTAGTGCTGAGAATGGCAGGACCCTGGTTTCCCAGGACTGCTTCTCTGTGAGGGGCACACATGACTCCCGCAGCGTCACAGTCACCGCTGTAATCACTTTGGATTTCTGTCTCAAACCTTTAAAAATGTCTCCTCCAGAGGCCTGTGGGACTAGGGCAGCAAAACATCCACCAACCCCTCTGCCAGCCTCACACGGAGCTGTGGTACGTGATAATGAGCGGAAGAACCAGGTCATCTGAGGACAGGTGCTTGGTCCAGGAGGGACAGTCTCAGAGTGTGCAGTTGACTCCATGAAACCTGCTCTGTCCTCTCCAGAGAAGATGCTCCTGTAGCTGTGTTGTCTTCTGACGCTTCCCCCTCCCCTTCTGTTAGCTTCCCCCTTTCCTCCTGTAGTTCTCTCCTAAGTCACTCAGTACTCTCCCCCTGCCCTTCCTTCCTTACTGCTTCACATAAGAGGCTCATCCTTAGCATCTCATCAGCTCCAGCAGTCTTATGTGCTCCTGTGTGCGTATTGCAGCTTCCCTGGGCCCAGTCCAATGCCAGGTTAGGAAGAACGGAATGAGAAAACTGAAGAGAAGGTAAGATTTCTAAAGCAAACCAAAAAAATGACAACCTAAGATGCAAACATAGCTCACAGCGACATTACTTTTTCTTTCTTTCTTTCTTTTTTTTTTTTTTTTGATAATACATTATAACAGAAGAGAAGCGATTTGTGCCAGCTTGGCTGTGGGCCCTCTTCACTATTGAGCAGTAAGCTTACCATTAATGAATGAAGAAGCATTTATTTGGCTCTCTGTGCCTGGCCTTTTCTACAGAAGGAGGCATGCTGTCTATGAAGACTCTGCAGGATGGGTCCTGCGTGCACCAATTAATTTGTGAGTTAGTTTGCCTCACCTTAAAATGGTGTGCTCCCCACTTTGTCTCCAAGCTAACATGTGTCTAGAGGATTCTCAGTCTCCAGTCAGTTTGCTTTGGCTCATGTATTGACCCTGCTTTTAATAGAATTAGTTTATATACTTACACAGATGTATTTTTTAAATTAAGGAACATATAGTCTTAAGTTTGGTTTTGAGGAATAGTTAATATTTGGCTTTGTAAGCAGCCTTCTCTATCTATTCGTGGAGTTAGCAATTGGGGGAATTCTCTTTATTGGGAACCAAATACTGAAATTATTGTATTAAATACATAATCAATAGGACCAACTTTTCCTGGAACTAGACTTAAAAGAACATTTTCTCCTTGTGTAAACAAAAACTGTCTTCATGGTCTTGTCTTCATGGCATACTGACCTTGAGGAAGACAAATTATTTACACCTGGAGATCTGCTGATGGGAAAACCCTTTGGACACCATCTTGATGCAAAAAATTAGGCTCAGGACTGAAAAATGAGTCAAAGGCCTTGGTGTATTTCTGGGTTGTGGCCTTGGGTAATTCTGAGTTGTGACTCAGCTTCAGGACTTCTTTGGAATGTACCCTTGTAACAGATTTACATGCCCAAGAGTTGGTAGAACCTTGGAAAAAAAAAACAAAACCTCAATCCATTCATGTTGGTGAACTGAATGAGGACACTGCCATAGCAATGAGGAATCTTCATGGACTCTTGCCACAGACACAGTTGAGCACTCCCTGGCTCATGATTCCAGTGTTGGCATACCAAAGAAGACTCCAGAACAGTGAAAGTTACAGGACAGATATTTATTCTGATTTTCCTTTTTTAGATACTACAACTGAGTGAGCCTCCAGTGTTCCTAAACACTTGGGCACATTCAGGGACTTCAAGAAGAAAGTTTGGGTTTTCCAGAGTGGCTCCAGTAATATACCTGTTTTCCATTTTCATGTGTCCAGCCTATCACCAGTTGATTGTCAGCCTGACAGGATCTAGGGTCACCTGGAGACAAGCCTACACACATACCTGTGAGGTGTTTAGATTAGGCTAGTCCATGGCCTTGCTTGTATGGACTGTCTTTTTTATCGTTTGTATAAACTTCCAAATTTCAGTACTTTATTAACAAAGGTCACAGGTTTTAGAAAAGGAGCAGGACCTGTTGTTAGACATAATACTAAAGCAACATTTTGATTAACACATGTGCTAGTCAAACAGAAGTTGAGGAGATTAACACTGTAATTACACTTTGCACAGAGATGGTTGTGACAGCTTGCTGTGAGAATGAGCTTAGTCTTATCTTGAAGACATGTGTACAATGGTAAGGGTGGAGTATCTGTGTGCCTGTCCTATATCTGTGAAGAATCATCTTGATAAGGTTAGTCTCTCCTATCTAGATTCCACTGTCAACTTGACACAGTCCAGGGTTACCTGAGGGAGGCTTGATAGGGGAATTGCCTAGATTGGCGTTGCCTGTGGGTATGTCCTTAAGGATATTTTCTTTATTGCCACCTGATGTAGGTGGTGAGGTGACTTGCCCAGTGTGGGCAGTGCGATCTTTAGGGAGGTAGGGAGGTAGATGAACCTGGGCTTTTAAAACTGTAGCTAAAGTCTGGGCATGGTGGTGCACATCTATAAACCCAGCACTTAGAGCCAGAAGCAGGAAGACAACTGTGAGTTCAAAGGTCAGCCTGATACATTTCAGGCTTCACTGTGAGAGGGAGACAGAGAGACAGAGAAAGAGAGCTGACTTGTGTGCCTGGAAATGAGCCAGTGTTTCTCTGTATTCTTTGAGTTCCTCCAGGTCTTTATCACTGACTTCCGTCAGTTGATAGACTGTAACACTTAAGATGAACTAATATCTTCCCAAAGTGTTTTTTGATTATGGTGTTTATCACAACAAAGAAAATCAAGCCAGGACAGTATCCAACCTCTTCTATAAGCAATTAGCTTTATTAGATTAACTGAGGTGGAAACCTGCACCAGTTTTGGGGGCACCATTCTCTGGGTTGGGATACACACACGCACACACACACACAATGAGGGGAGAGACAGAGAAAGAGAGCTGACTGAGTGAGTGCCTGGAAATGAGCCAGGAAGCAGTGCTCTCTGCTCTCATTTCTTCTAACATCACCATGCTCCCAATTTTGTCAGATGATTTTGTCTATTTCCCCTTTTCAGGGGGATCTATGTATTCATTTCTTAGGGTTCTCCTTGTTACTTAACTTCTCTAGGATCTTGATTTATAGGGTCAATTGCCTTTGCTTTACAACTAGTATCCACTTGTGAGTGAGTACATACTATGCTTATCTTTCTGGGTATGGGTTACTCCACTCAGGATGATTTTTCTTCTAGTTCCATCCATTTGCATGCAATTTTCAAGATGTCATTTTTTTTTAACCACTGAGTATTACTCTAGGGTGAAAATGTGCCACTTTTTTTTATCCATTTTTCAGTTTAGGGGCATCTACATTATATCCAGATTCTGGATATTGCAAATAATACTGCTATGAACATAGTTGAACTAATGTCCTTATAGTATGATTGAGCATCTTTTGAGTATATGCCCAAGAGTGGTATTGCTGGGTCCTGAGGTAGGTTGATTCTCAGTTTTCTGAGAAATTGCCATGCTGATTTCCAAAGTGGTTGTACAAGTTTGCATTCCCACCAGCATCCTCTCCAGCATAAGCTATCGTAGGTGTTTTAGATCATAGCTATTCTGACAGGTGTAAGATGGTATCTCAGAGTTGTTTTGATTTGCATTTCCCTGATGGCTAAGGATGTTGAACATTTCCTTAAGTGTCTTTCGGCCATTTCAGATTCTTCTGTTGATAATTCTCTGTTTAGTTCTGTACCTATTTTTTAATTGGGTTATTTGGAATTTTGATGTCTTATTCCTTGAATTCTTCATATATTTTGGAGATCAGCCCTCTGTTTGATAGGTGGTTGGTGAAGATCTTTTCCCATTGAGTAGGCTGCCTTTTTTATTCTTATTTCTTTGCTTTACAGAAGTTTTTCAGTTTCTGGAGGTCCCATTTATTTATTGTTGCTCTCAGTGTCTGTGCTACTGGTGTTATATTTAAGAAGTGGTCTCCTGTGCCCATTCATTGAAGGCTTTTCCCCACTTTCTCTTTTATCAGATTCAGTGTGGTCAGATTTATATTGAAGTCTTTAATCCATTTGGACTTGAGTTCTGTGCATGAGGATAGATACAGATCTATTTTCATTCTTCTACAGGTTACCATCCAGTTATGCCAGCACCATTTGTTGAAGATGTTTTCTTTTTTCCCATTGTATAATTTTAGCTTTCTTGTCAAAAATCAGGTGTTCATAGGTGTGTGGATTAATATCCGATGACTTCAATTTGATTCCATTAGTCAACCTGTCTGTTTTCATGCCAATACCAAGCTGTTTTCATTACTGTAACACTGTAATAAAGCTTGATGCCAGGGATGGTGATACCTCCAAACGTTTTTTTATTATACAGGATTGTTTTTGCTATTCTGTTTTGTTGTTGTTGTTGTTGTTGTTGTTTTTGCTGTTCTTTTTCCATATGAAGTTGATTATTGTTCTTTCAAGGCCTGTGAAGAATTGTATTGCGATTTTGATGGGGATTGCTTTTTGTAGGATTGTCGTTTTTATTATGTTGATGCTACCTATCCAAAAACATGGGAGATCTTTCCATTTTCTGGTATCTTTTTCAGTTTCTTTCTTCAAAGACTTAAAGTTCTTGTCAAACAGGTCTTTCACTTCTTTGATTAGTGTTACCCCAAGATATTTTATGTTATTTGTGGCTATTGTGAAGGGAGATGTTTCTCTGATTTCTTTCTTAGCTTATTTATCATTTGTGTATAGGAGGGCTGCTGATTTTTATGAGTTGATCTTGTATCCTGCCACATTACTGAAGGTATTTCTGAAGGTATTTATCAGCTGTTGGAGTTCCCTAGTAGAGGTTTTGGTTCCACTTATGTATACTATCTTATCATCTGCAGATAGTGAAAGTTTTACTTCATTCTTTCCAATTTGAATCTTCTTGATCTCCAATTGTTGTCTTATTGCTCTAGCTAGAACCTCATGAACTATATTGAGTAGATATTGAGAGAGTCGTCAGCATTGTATTGTTTTTTATTTTAGTGGAATCACTGTGAGTTTTTCTCCATTTAATTTGATATTGACTGTTGGCTTGATGTATATTCCTTTTATTATGTTTAGATATGTTCTTTGTAACCCTGATCTCTCCAAGATCTTTATCATGAAGGGGTTTTGGATTTTGTTGAATGGTTTTTCAGCATCTAATGAGATGATCATATTTTTTTCCTTCAGTTTATTTCCATTGTGGATTACATTGATAGATTTTCATTTGTTCAACCATCTCCGCATCTCTGACATGAAGCTGACTTGATCATGGTGTTTGATTTTTATGTTGTGTTCTTGGATTCTGTTTGCCAGTATTTTATTGAGTATTTTTGCATCAATGTTCATGAGTAAGATTGGCCTGTAATTCTCTTTCTTGCTTGAGTCTTTGTGTGGTTTTGGTATCAGCGTAACTGTAGTCCCATAAAAAGAGTTTGTCAATGTTTCTTCTGTTTCTTTTATGTAGAATACTTTGAGGCGTTAGCTCTTCTTGTAAGTTCTGTTAGGATTCTGCACTGTAACGATTTGGCCCTGGACCTTTTCTGATTGGGAAGATTTGATAACTACTTTTATTTCCTTGTAGGTTACAGGTCTATTTAAATTGTTCACCTGGTCTTGATTTAATTTTGGTATGTGGTACCTATCCAGAAAATTGTTGATTTCTTTTACATTTTGCAATTTTGTGGAGTACATGTTTTTGTAGTATGACCTAATGGATTTCCTCAGTGATTGTTGTTATCTTCCCTTTTCATTTCTGATTTTGTTAATTTGGATATTCTCTCTCTGCCTTTTGATTAGTTTGAATAAGGGTCTATCTTGTTGATTTTTTTCAAAGAACTGGCTCTTTGTTTTGTTGATTCTTTGTATTGTTTTCTTTGTTTCTATTTTATTGCTTTCAGCCTTCAATTTGGTTATTTCATGTCTTCTCCTCCTGGGAGAGTCTGTTTCTTTTTGTTCTAGTGTGAAATTTCTCCACTTTCTTTATTTTTTTAATGTTTATTTATTTATTATGTATACAATATTCTGTCTATATGTATGCCTGCAGGCTACCAGACCTCATTTCAGATGGTTGTGAGTCACCATGTAGTTGCTGGGAATTGAACTCAGAACCTTTAGAAGATCAGGCAATGCTCTTAACCGCTGAGCCATCTCTCCAGCCCCTCCACTTTCTTTATTACTTAGTGCTATGAGCTTTACTTTTAGCACTGCTTTCATTGTGTTCCATAGGTTTGGGTATGTTCTGCTTTTATTTTTGCTGAATTCTATGAAGTCTATAATTTCTTTCTTTATTTCTTCCTTGACTGAGTGGTGGTTCAATAGAGCACTGTTTAATTTCCATGAATTTGAAGGCTTTCTGTGATTAGTGTTGTAAATTCTAAATTGAAAATATGGTGATCTGATAAGATACAAGGGTTTACTCCAAGTTTTTTGTATCTGTTGAAGTTTGCTTTGTTACTGAGTATGTGGTCAATTTTAGAGAAGGTTCCATGAGATGCTGAGAAAAGGTATATTCTTTTGTGTTTGGGTGGAATGTTCTATACATGTTTGTTAAGTCCACTTGATTCATGACATCTGTCATTTCTCTGTTTCTCTGTTAAGTTTCTGTCTGGTTGACCTGCCCATATTGTGGTGAGTGGGGTGTTGATATCTCCTACTATTAGTGTGGGAGTTTGTTGTGCGATTTAAGCTTTAGTAATGTTTCTTGAACATATGTGGGTTCTTGTATTTGGGGCATAAATGTTCAGGATTGAGACTTCATCTTGATGGATTTTTCCTGTGATGGGCATGAAGTGCTCTTTTCCATTGATTTTAGTTTGAAGTTTATTTTGTTAGATATTAGGATAGTTACACCTGCTTGTTTCTTAGGCCCATTTGATTTGGAAAATATTTTCCCAACTCTTTACTCTGAGGAAATGTCTGTCTTTGAGGTTGAGGTGGGTTTCTTGTATACAGGAGAAGGCTGGATCCTGCTTTTGTATCCATTCTCTTAGCCTGTGTTTTTTACAGGTGAATTGAGTCCATTTTGATTTTAAGAGTTATTAATGATCACTGATTGTTAATTCCTGTTATTTTTCAGTGGTAGTATGTGTGTGCTTCTCTTCTTTGGGTTTTCCTGGTGTGAGGTTATCAGTTGCAGCTCTTAATATTCCCTTGTTATTCTGTGTATTTTGTGTTTTGTATATTACATGGCAAGAGGACTTTTTTAATCCATTCTGTTTGGTGTTCTATAAGCTTCTTGTACCTTCATAGGGTTATCCTTCTTTAGGTTGGGAAAGTTTTCTTCTATGATATTGTTGATTATATTTTCTGTGCCTTTAAGCTGGAGTTCTCCTTCATCTATCCCTATTATTTTTAGATTTGGTCTTTTAGGTGTTCCAGATTTCCTGGATGTTTCGTGTTAAGAATTTGTTGGATTTAATGTTTTCTTTGACCAATGAATGATTATTTCCACTATAGTTTCTTCAACACCCGAGATTTTCTCTTCCATTTCTTGTATTCTGTTGGTTATGCTTTCCTCTTTAGTTCCCGTTCGTTTATCAAGATTTTCCATACCTGAAATTTCTCTCAGTTTGTATTTTCTTTATTGCCTTTATTTCAGTCTTCAAGTCTAGAACTGTTTCCTTCACTTGTTTGATTATTTTTTTTCCTTGGTTTCTTTGAGAGATGTGTTAATTTCTTCCAATTTTTTTGGTCTTTTCCTCCATTTAAGGGGGTGTTTTATTTCCTCTTTAAATGTCTCTATCATCTTCATAAAGTTATGTTTAAAATCGTTTTCTTCTGCTTGAGTTAGGTGATCAAATCTTCCTGTGTGACAAATGGGTTCTGATATTACCATGTTGCTTTTTAGGTTGTTTGATGAGTTCTTACATTGGCGCCTACCCATCTCTTCCTTCAATTGGTGCCAGCAGTGTCTTTGTCTCTTGGTCCAACCCTTGCAGTTGCTGTGTGTGTCTTTGGGAAGTGTCCTTGATCTGCTCTGTACTGTCGCTGTCTATGTCTCAGGGAGCCACTGAGGTCTCTCTTGGCTCGCTCTCTTTGCCTGACCTCTTGGTTTTGCTCTCTTAATCCACTCTATGCAGTCAAAGCCTGTGCTTCCGAGTTCCTCTCTTGGTTCTCTTGCCGAGTCCTCTCTGTGTAGTTGCGGCTTGTGTTTCAGTGTTCCTCTGAGGCTGCATTTGGCGGTGGTGGCTGGAGGGTTTGGAGGTAGAGTGAGACTTACAGCTTTAAGGGTCCAATGGATGGGATGAGGGTGTTGGAGGAAACTCACCTGTTGGCTGGCTAGAGAAGCCAAGGCAAGTGGGGAAGGGACCCGGGGTTTTGCCCAGGTATGGAGGGCCTAAAGAGTGGATGTTCTGCCTGGTGGCTGGTCACTCACCTCTTGTTACCCCCTGTGTAGTAGCAGGCTGTGTTTCAGAGTTCCACTGAGGTTGTGAGGATATAGAAGAGTTTGGGGGCAGAGTGGGACTTGTAGTTTGCGGGGGGTCTAATGGATGGAATGGTGGTATTGGAGCTGCCTACCTGCAGGAAACACACCTGCTGGCTGGCTATAGAAGCCAAGGTAGGTGGGGGACGGATGGGGGTTTTGCCCCCATATGGAGGGCCTAGAGGGTTGGGTGTGCTGCTAGGTGGCTGGTCACTAACCTCTTGGTCCTCTCTGTATAGTAGCAATCTGTGTTTCAGAGTTCCACTGAGGTTGTGGATAAGAGGCAGATAGGAAGGTTTGAGGGCAGAGTGGGACTTTTAGTTTTCAGGGTCTAATGGATGGGATGGGGGTTGGAGTTCACTACCTGCAGAAAACTTAGCTGGCTAAAGAAGACAAGGCCCAGGTTTGGGTGGCTGGTCAATCGCTTCTTTGTCCACTCTGTGTAGTAGCAGGCTGTGTTTCAGAGTTTCAATGATGTTTTTGGGTGGGGTCAGGGGTGAAGGGATAGGAGCTTTTGGGAGCAGAGTGGGACTTGTAGCTTGCAGGGTCCAGTGAATGGGATGGGGATGTTGGAGCTCCCTTCCTGGAGGAAATTCGCATGCTGGCTGGCTCTTGGTCCTCTCTGAGTAGTAGCAGGCTGTGTTTCAGGGTTCCACTCGATGGGCAGTATCTTAAACTGTGAGAGAAAAAAAAAGCTTTATCCCCTTAGGTCTTTTTGGCAGAACGTTTTGTCACAGCAATAGGAATAGTAACTGAGACAACTCTAAGTGAATCCACCTGCTTTTGCAAACCTCCACCTTGGTGGCGCTAGTTGACCATTGGCGTTTTTCTGCTTTGTGCTTTTCCAGCTCCCAGTGCAGTCCTGCTCCAACAAAATTCACTCTTGTGAGTCAGAGTTCACCTTTTAAAATGTAAGTCAGCCTTGCTGCTCTCCTGCTTTAAAATTCATTCATAATAAAATCTCTAGCTGGGCTAAGAGGTCCCACAAGGTGAGACCTTTCAGTCTCTCATCCTTTCTCGCCTTTTCCATTAACTAAGACACTTTCTGCTTGTGAAACAAGGTCGGTCATTCCCACCCACTGTCAGCACACTAGTTATTACCTGTGCCTGCAGTGCATTTCTTCTGACTTCTCTTTCCTCGGGGAGTCCACAGGTCCCCTTCCCCATAACACAATAGCTTTATTAATTATTTGAGAATTTCATACAGCACTCACTGCTCCTTCCTCCCAGCTCCACCCTCCTACCCTTGCACCTCCCCCAAAAGAAAAACCAGAAAAAGCCCCACCAAGTCCAATCTGTGTTGCCCATATACTCACTGTAGCATGGCCATTCTGATGGCCAGCCCCTTAAAGAAAACTGAGTCCTTCCCCATCCCACTCTGCCAGAAGCCATCAGCTGTGAAGAGCTATAGTCCAGCATCATTTTCCTAGTTTTTAAGGACTCACCAAGTTAAGGCAGCCACTTCTGTATGATCCTTTTCTGGTAACCATTGACTAAAATAGTCACTTTTTATTGTTTCAGTTTCATTTGTCTGTGGTAAACTGTGGTCCAAAATCTAGTAGGTAAAAGTTGGAGGAACAAAGCAATGAAATCCTAAACAGAACCACAAAGGAGGCAGTGCTTGTGTTCAAAATAATCCTTGTTTTTTCTTAATTATCTCAAAGATACTAATCTTGGTAATTTTATTATACTATATTATTGTACTTAACTGTATTTAAGTATTTGGTATATATTTTTATTTGCTTTAATTAATTTCATATTATGTGTAAGTTAAAAAGGAAAGTTTATTATTATTTTTTAATTTTTTTTTCAGGGTGTCAACAAACATTTATTAAATGAGGGCATCTTGAACAAGCAGAAACACAAATAGCTAAAAGTCAATATAATGGAATATTAATTATACTCTATCACATTTTTATGGAGAATCCTGTTTTGTAATTGTTGTACTAAAATGGCCCCTGTGAAGACAACTGTACTTTTAGAAAAAGGTGAGAGAGACATAAATTACCACCAGCACTACCAGCAGCGCCACTGCTGACGGTGTCATATTGAATACTCTGCTTACTGTTCTTCTGTAAAATGCATATCGTAGGTGCCACCCCCATAATCGACATACAAACTATAGAAATGTGGGAAGAACTAAAAACATATTCCTATAGCTTAAGTTTTCAAAACTGTCTAGTGAGCCTCCATTCTTCAGTCTGCAACTTCAGGTTGTGTAGAGAGGAGTAGAGAGAGGCTAGCACATGGTGCTGCAGTGAATGTATGCTTTGGGGAAATTGATGGGTTCGATCAAAGAGAGCAGGGGACTAATGTTTTGAATCTATAGATTGCACAAGTTCTAGAGCAGTGGTCCTCACCCTTCCTAATGCTGTGACCCTTTCATAAAGCTCCTCATGTAGTGGGGACCCCAGCCATAAAGATATTTTCATTGCTACTTCTTTTTTTTATTTATTAAAAATTTCCACCTCCTCCCCGCCTCCCTTTTCCATCCCCCTCCCCACCTCCCCCTCCCTCTCTAGTCCTAAGAGCAGTCAGGGTTCCCTGCACCATGGGAAGTCCACGGTCCTCCCCCCTCCATCCAGGACTATAAAAGTGAGCATTCAAACAAACCAGGCTCCCACAAAGTCAGTCCATGCAGTAGAATCAAAACCCAGTGCCATTGTCCTTGTCTTCTCAGTTAGCCCTCATTGACAGCCACATTCAGAGTGTCCAGTTTGATCACATGCTCCATCACTCCCAGTCCAGCTGGCCTTGCTGAGCTCCCATTAGGTCAGTCACACTGTTTCAGTGGGTGGACACACACCTCGTGGTCCTGACTTCCTTGCTCATGGTCTCCCTCCTTCTGCTCCTCATTTGGACCTTGGGAGCTAAGTCCAGTGCTCCAATGTGGGTCTCTATCTCTATCTCCATCCATCGCCAGATGAAGGTTCTATGGTGATATGCAAGATATTCATCAGTGTGGCTATGGGACAAGGCCAGTTCAGGCACCCTCTCCTCTGCTGCCCAAGGAACAATCTGGAGACCTCTCCTTGGACCTGGGAACCCCTCTAGAATAAAGTCTCAAGTCTCTTGCAAACCTTAAAACGGCTCCCTTAATTAAGATATTTATTTCCCTGCTCCCATATCCACTCTTCCTCCATCCCAACCTTCCCATTCCCCCAAGCTTTCCCAAATCCTCCCCTTTTCCCTTTTCTCTACCCATCTCACCTTACATTTACCACCCAAACCCCCGTGCACCCAACTTTTGCTTGGCAATCTTATCTACTTCCAATATCCAGGAGGATAACTATATGATTTTCTTCAGGTTCACCTTCTTATTTAGCTTCTCTAGGATCATGAATTAAAGGCGCAATGTCCTTTAATTATGGCTAGAATCCACTTATGAGTGAGTACATACCATATTCCTCTTTTTGGGTCTGGATTACCTCACTCAGTAAAGCATTTTCTATTTCCATCCATTTGCATGCAAAATTCAAGATGTCATTGTTTTTTACCGCTGAGTAAAACTCCAATGTGTATATGTTCCACACCTTCTTTAACCATTCTTCTTTTGAGGGGCACCTAGGTTGTTTCCAGGTTCTGGCTATTACAAATAGTGCTGCTATGAACATAGTTGAACAAATGCTTTTGTAGTATGATAGTACTTCTCTTGGGTATATTCCTAAGAGGGGAATTGCTGGGTCCTGAGGGAGGTTGACTCCCAGTTTCCTGAGAAACCACCACACTGATTTCCAAAGTGGCTGCACAACTTTGCATTCCCACCAACAAGGAATGAGTGTTCCCCTCACTCCACATCTTCTCTAGCATAGTCTATCATTGGTGTTTTTGATTTTAGCTATTCTGACAGGTGTAAGATGGTATCTCAAAGTTGTTTTGATTTGCATTTCCCTGATTGCTAAGGAGGTTGAGCATGACCTTATGTGTCTTTTGGCCATTTGAACTTCTTCTGTTGAGAATTCTCTGTTCAGTTCAGTACCCCATTTTTTAATTGGGTTAATTAGAGTTTTAGTGTCTAGTTTCTTGAGTTCTTTGTATATTTTGGAGATCAGACCTTTGTCTGTTGCGGGGTTAGTGAAGATCTTCTCCCAATCGGTAGGTTGCCTTTTTGTCGTAATGACAGTGTCCTTTGCTTTACAGAAGTTTCTCAGTTTCAGGAGATCCCATTTATTCATTGTTTCTCTTATTGTCTGTGCTACTGGGGTTCTACCTAGGAAGTGGTCTCCTGTGCCCATGTCTTGTAGACTACTTCCCACTTTCTCTTCTATCGGGTTCAATGTGGTCAGATTATTTTTTCTTTTTTTTCTTTTTTATTTAAATCACTGCTTGACCAATCACTTAAGTGTATTGCTAGCTAGCTCTTACATCTAGTATTTACCCATTTTCTGTATTTTATATTTTATCTCAAGGCTTGTGGCCTACCAGCAAGGTTACAGCGTGTCTGTTTTTGGTACAAGCTCCATGGATTCTCTGGAATCTGCCTTTCTTTCTCCCAGCATTCACTTTAGTTTTCTTCACCTAGCTCTACTCTACTCTATCAGGCCAGTTTCTTTATTAATCAATGGTATTCACAGCATACAGAGGGAAATCCCACATCACAAGTATATGATAACAGACCTAGTACTATATGGACACAACTCTATGAAATAATTTCTCCTATGTAAAAATAAGTATTGTAAGTATATTTCTTTTTTCTTTTTTTATTTCTTCTTCTTATTATTATCATTAAAAAATTTCTGCCTCCTCCCTACCTCCCATCTCCCTCCCCCTCCCTCCCCCTCCCTCCACTCCTCTGCCCTTCCCTCTCCAATCCAAAGAGCAATCAGGGTTCCCTGCCCTGTGGAAAGTCCAAGGTCCTCCCCGCTCCATCCAGGTCCAGGAAGGTATGCAACCAAACAAACCAGGCTCCCAAAAAGCCAGTACATGCAGTAAGTTCAAAACAAAGTGCCATTGTCCCTGGCTTCTCAGTCAGTCCCCATTGTCCACCACGTTCAGATAGTCCTGTTTGATCCCATAATCTTTCAGTTCCAGTCCAGCTGGCCTTGGTGAGCTCCCATTAGATCAGCCCCACCGTCTCAGTGGGTGGGCGCATCCCTCGTGGTCCTGACTTCCTTGCTCATGTTCTCCCTCCTTCTGCTCATCATTTGGGCCTTGGGAGTTCAGTCCAGTGCTCCAATGTGGGTCTCCGTCTCTATCTCCATTCATCGCCAAATGAAGCTTCTATGCTGATATGCAAGATATTCATCAGTGTGGCTATAGTGTAGGGCCAGTTCAGGCTTCCTCTCCTCAGCTGCCCATGGAACAAGCTGGGTACATTTCCTTGGACACCTGGGAACCCCTCTAGAGTCAAGTCTCTTGCCAACCCTAAAATGGCTCCCTTAATTAAGATATCTTCTTCCCTGCTCCCATATCCACCCTTCCTCCATCCCAACCATCCCATTCCCCCAGGGTCTCCCCATCCTCCCCTCCTCACTTTTCTCTACCCATGTCCCCATACCCCCACCCCACCCCCACCCCCAAGATCCCAATTTTTGTCTGGCAATCTCGTCTACTTCCAATATCCACGGGGATAACTATATGTTTTTCTTTGGGTTCACCTTTTTATTTTCTTCTCTAGGATCATGAATTATAGGCTCACTAACCTTTATTTATGGCTAGAATCCACTTATGAGTGAGTACATACCATATTCCTCTTTTTGGGTCTGGGTTACCTCACTCAGTAAAGTGATTTCTATTTCCATCCATTAACATGCAAAATTCAAGATGCCATTGTTTTTACTCTAATGTGTATATATTCCATACTTTCTTTATCCATTCTTCCATTGAAGGGCATCTAGGTTGATTCCAGCTTCTGGCTATTATAAATATTGCTGCTATGAACATAGTTGAACAAATGCTTTTGTATTGTGATAGGGCATCTCTTGGATATCTTCCCAAGAATGGTATTGCTGGATCCTGGGGTAGGTTGATCCCAAATTTCCGAAGAAACGACCACACTGATTTCCAAAGTGGCTGCACAAGTTTGCATTCCCACCAGCATTGGATGAGTCTACCCTTTACTCTACATCCTCTCCAGCAAAGGCTATCATTAGTGTTTTTGATTTTAGCCATCCTGACAGGTGTAAGGTGGTTTCTCAGAGTTGTTTTGATTTGCATTTCCCTGATCACTAAGGTCTTATGTTTCTTTTGGCCATTTGCACTTCTTCTATTGAGAATTCTCTGTTCATTTCAGTGCCCCATTTTTTAATTAGGTTAATTAGCATTTTATTTAAAGTCTAGTTTCTTGAGTTCTTTATATATTCTGGAGATCAGACCTTTGTTTGTTGCGGGGTTGGTGAAAATCTTCTCCCAATCAGTAGGTAGTCTTTTTGTCTTAATGACAGTGTCCTTTGCTTTACAGAAGCTTCTCAGTTTCAGGAGGTCCCATTTATTCAATGTTGCCCTTAATGTCTGTGCTGCTGGGATTGTACGTAGGAAGTGATCTCCTGTGCCCATGTGTTATATACTACTTCCCACTTTTTCTTCTATAAGGTTCAGTGTGTTCAGATTGATATTGAGGTCTTTAATCCATTTGGACTTGAGTTTTGTGCATGGTGATAGATATGGATCTATTTTGATTCTTCTACAGGTTGACATCCAGTTATGCCAACACCATTTGTTGAAGATGGTTTCTTTCTTCCATTGTATAGTTTTAGCTCCGTTGTCAAAAATCAGGTTTTCATAGGTTTGTGGGTTAATATCCGGGTCTTCTATTCGATTCCATAGGTCAACTTCTCTGCTTTTGTTCCAATACCAAGCTGTTTTCAATACTGTAGCTCTGTAGTAGAGTTTGAAGTCAGGGATGGCAATGCCTCCGGAAGTACTTTTATTGTATAGGATTGTTTTGGCTATCCTGGGTTTTTTGTTTTTCCATATAAACTTGATTATTGTTCTCTCAAGGTCTGTGAAGAATTTTGTTGGGATTTTGATGAGGATTGCATTG